CAAGGGCTGCCTTGGATTTCATCTCTGTAGCAATCACTCTACAGAGGTGCATATCTGAGCTCTGGCCATTTGACCAGTCCTTAGACTTGGTTATTTTTTTCCTCTGCAAAAAAGATTCACAGAACAATTTTGCCAAAAACATCAAATTTTGACACCCCCCCCCCCCCCAAAAGGGAGGGATACACATTCACAAAATCCCTCTCCCCACCCCTACCCACACCCTTTTCCACCAGTGTTGACATCCATAAGCACCAGAGAAAGGATAAAAACAGTGTGATGGGGAAGTCATGATACAGGAGCGGAAGGGTGTTCCTCTAGAGACAATGTAAGAGCACAACTTGCCTTTCACCTCTTTGGATTCCATGTTATTTCTTCCCAAAAGCCTTTCCTTCCAGTCACTGGAGAGTAACTTCTCAATGGTTGGCATAACTATATCCCAAAAGCAGAGTGGGGGGTGAGAGAGAGTGATTGGAAAGGAAAAACAGAAAGAGAAACATGATTTGTCACCATTACTCTCTTTGTGGCCACCATTGTCTATGGAGCTACACTGATTTATGCAAGCTGAGGATCTGGCCCAAGCATGGTTACTTGCACACTGGAGGCCAGAGACAAGATACCAAATAATAAGGGAATAGGGAATGTCCAAAATCCTTCTCACCCTCCTTCAAGTTTCTATTGAAGTCCAACTTTTCCTGGCTGCCCACGGCAGGCTCAAATGTGGAGCTCTTGGAGTCTATTGCGTCATTCCCGGGGGAGGGGGATTCCTGGAACGGACAGAGAGTTACTCTTGAGTGACTGCTTATTGCCAAGCACACCAGGGAGGGGAAGGGGAAGACTCCTGCAGAAAGAAGCCCTGAGGACCACCGCAGGATGCTCCTGAGATGGAGCAGCAGGGAGGCAAGCAGACACAGATGAAGCAGCACACTGAGCTCAGCTGACACAGAGGCATTCCGATATGAACCTCGCAGGAGATTTCCATGCACTCCAAAAGGCAGCCTAACCCAGAAGTGGGGAAGTCAAGGGGACAGGTAAGTAACCTGCCTTTGGTCTCCACACAGGAGCCAGGGGAGACTGTGGGAGTCAAGAGGCAGATTCAGTGAGCAGAACAGGTAGGGGCAGAGCCTAGGAAGGCTGAATGGTGTTCACAACGGGTAAACCCAGGAAAGTTAGAGGCCTAATTGCTTCAGGCTGCTTTCCAGCCTAACTCTGAGCCTTGGGCTGTGACTGCTGAAAAGCGCTTCTCAACTGGAGACACCTTATTCCTGATCTCATACCAGCCCCGGGAGTCTTTGGAGAATTCAAAGCGACTTGAATTTTTGTGCTGCAAACATTACTTTGCAAAAGATTTGTCTTGGCAAAAACAATTGCCTGGAGGAGCTGGGCTGGTGGGGGCAGGCGGCTGGAAAGTTATCCAGGCACAGTGCTCAGCGGCGGAAAACCCAGGAGCAATTACAAAAGGAAAATGAGAGCGTGGCCACAGGTCTCCCGAAGGAGCTGGAGCCGTTTCTAAGGCAGCACATCTGCCTGCTGCTATCACGGGGCCACCTGCTCTGAAGGCCACAGCTCAAACCCCAGGCATGACAGTGAGCAGAAAGCCTGGGGGAGCCTCAGATAACAGTGCTGTCTCCTCGGGAGGAGAGTGAAATGGAGGCAATGGGAAGAGGAACAGCAATTTTCTTCCATGGAGCTCCATTGCCTTCCCTTGCATAGGAGGGCAGCCTGGCTTATGGCTTCAGCTGCTGGCAGTGCAGAGGGTGGAGGGGAAAATGGCCCAGTGGTTAGTGCACTAGCCAGGGACCTGAAGACTTGGTGGATCTAAGGTGCTTGGTGACTGTGGTGAGTCCATCAAACAGCCAGACAAGGGGGCAGCAGGTGCTACTACGTTCAAGCCGGTGCCCCCCGGTCTGCCCCGACTTCTGCCCTGTGAGCAGTGAGGATGGAAAGGACCAGAGGATTTGGCTCCACCTGTGGCAGGGCCCGGGGGTCAGCGGTGTCTCTCAGCGACGGCGGTGCTCCGTGCAAGCTGCTGGTGTGGGACTCGGGACCGGCAGCTGCTCCCTTTGGAGACTCGTAGCAGCTCTCCTTCTTCTCCTCTGTCTTGATGGTGCAGTTCACCATGTTGCCAGCTCCATCGAGGTCCAAATGGGGAGAGACAGGGTTCCTCATGGACATCCTGCGGGAGGAGAGATGCTGAGCATGGTGATGGGGCCAAGTCTGTCTTCTGGAGGCAGAACTGTGGGGAACGTGCTTGAAGTGGGAACAGCCCAGGTCCCCTTCCCCTCGGACTGCACCTCCAGGGCACTGAGGCCTCCACACTATTTAAATGCACAGTATGGGCACTCCCCAATGACCTACACTGCACTGACAGCAAAGCAATGGGACACCAACTATCCCATCCTGCCCTAGCAAGGCTTTACCTCCTGAGCCCCCCAACGCTGCTTCAACACCTTCCATGCTAGTCCCTTTCTGCCTGCCCAATTCGGGAGGCCCAGACCTGATGGCCCCGGAGACACCTTCCAGGCCTATGCTCCCTCTGGGACAAGCAGGGGAGTTTCTGGGCCAGCTCTGTATAATCAATTTGCTTTCAGATCAGAACGAACAAAGGTCTCAAATTCTCCTGCTGTTCATGGAGACCCCGCTGTCTGCGGTTTCTTTTGCTTTTTCTACTGCAGGTACTGGCTCCGCTGACCAGAAGTGCACAGGAGAATAAACCCCAAACCTCCTCATTACAATCAATGAAGAGAATGCAGCAATGCCAGTCTAACAAAAACCAAGGCAGAGTTGAAAAGAAAGGGAAAAGAAAGCAAGTGAGTGTCGGATGAGGATCTTGGACTTTGTATTTGCCTAGCAGCTTTCTCAGAGGGTTCCCATGTGCCTTTGTGACGAGGCATGGATAAACACCTCCCTCCCACATTACATGAGAAAAGAATCATCAAACCCATTTTATGTTATTCTCCCCATTCTGCAGATCAGAAAACTGAGGCCCACAGGGGTCAAGACTATTCAAAGCCGAGCACCCACAGCCCCCACACTGAAAAGTAGCAGGAGCTGCAGACATTGAGCACAGCTGGAAGTGAGGCCCCATGCAAAGGCTGTGGCAGGAGCTCATCCTGACTCTGGAACTAGACCCAAGGGATGCCTGCCTCCTGGCCTCGAGACCAGGCTGCTTCAATGCAGAAGGGACCTCCTGCATCCAGAGAGCAGGTCCTGGAAGAGTCCACCAAGGGCTAGCCAGAAAGAGATGCCAAGTACACTGCCAGCACTGCCAGGCTAATCCTCTGCCGGGGCTGTGCCGATGGGGCCAGGCTCATCGGGGAGAAACACCATCAGCCTCATCTGCAAACCCATGAGTAGTGAATGGCCAACAAGCCAAGACACCGATGCATCTGGCCTTGTGAGCCAGGGATCCGAGTCCATTTTAGTGCAGCACCTCAGTCTCAAGTTGTCTCTTGAAGGCACAGGCGGGTACATGGAGGAAGGAGTTATCTGCAGCTGCTCCAGCAAGGATTTGCTCTATGAAAGCCACCAACTCTCATGCTCCACAGCCAGGCCTGGTCACCAGCAGGGAGAAAGTGGGCAGGAAAAAATTTGGCTGCCCAAACCCTTCCCTCCAGAGAATAATAGAAATTGAGGGGCAGGAAGGAGAGGGATTTATGCTTACACTGAATCCTCCAGTATCGGCTGTGGCTGGAGATGGGATCCCAAGCCAGGAGACAATGGGACCTGCTGCAGTGCAGCGATGCTAGGCTGGCACGGCCTGGTAGATAGAGCAATAGATACCGGATAATATGGACTGCTGCATCCATGGCAGGTAGCAGGACTGACCAGAGTAAATGGACCACAGCTGGATCCTCTTAAACGAAGCTCCATTGAGATGGTCCTTCCCCTGAGAAGCCCCCCCACCAGCTTGGCGACAGTGCCGGGCGCTGCAGCCTGTGCCACCCCGGAGCAGGCAGGGAGCAGGGCCGGAGCGATGGCGGCTTCCAGCTTGTGCGAGCTCTGGAAAAGCGCAGGGCAGCAATTACATAACAAACAAAGCCCGGCTCAAGCTGTGAATTAATCAAACCGCTGAAAATAAAACCTTCCTCTCAGGAACTTCAAACAAAAGAAATGAAAACAACAAGGCCGGCTGGGTAATGAAAAGCCAGGGCTCTGAATAGGGGACAAAAGGAAGTGGAACAATAGGGTGTTGGACAAAAGCAATAAAGTAAAGGGAAGTGTGACAGCTCAACAATGGAGTACTGTGCGCGCCAGAGTTTCTGATCTTAGCAGGGCTTTTTATCTCAGCTCCCTGCCCTCCTCTGAACAAATCATTGCGCTTTCCAGGCGATTGGGTTTCCTTTTGGCAGGTACAGTAACTCCCGGTAGAAGCCTCCATGTCCCCAACACGGCCCTCCTCCACTCCTTCCCCACTGCTAAACCAGAGACCCAACAGCCTCATCTTCTGGAGATGGGCACAATCCAGGAGCTAGACAAGAAGGTCCCAAGACAGGGGTCTGTCTCCACAACTTGGGCTTCCCAAGTGGGGCCCTTCCACAGCTCCACACCTAATCATAAAACACAATAGCATTAATTGCACCTCAGCCATGGAGAAAATGACTGCACCAGAAATGGAGGAGAGTGAGAACCTCGGGGGAGATGCGTCAAGAGCTGTGTTGAGGGTTGGCCTGGCCTCATCCGGCCCATCGGCTTTGCATCACGCAGAGGTGCAGGGGAAATACCTATGCTCCTTGTGGCCCCATGATCACACCGCAACACCTCCTCGCCCCGGCCTTTCAGACCTCGTTGGACTCCATGCACTTGGGAAACCTCAAAGCTTCCCTTTTCTGTCCCAGGCTGTGCAGAATATTATTCCTGTACAGGGAAACTGAGGCAGGGCAGTGTGGCTATTTCAGCATCTTGCCCCCATTTGACCATCAGGCTGGGATCAAACCCAGGAGTCCAGCTCCCCCACTGCTCTAACCACCAAACCCCATTCCCTGCCTCCAAAAGCTTTTGACAGGTCCCAGCAAGGGCAGGAGGACCCACTCCTCGGGGATTCCTTTATTCCTTCTCCAACATTTCACGGTGTGGAAGCAGTCAATGGACCTAGTGCCATCCTACGTCTCCCAGCAAGGGAAAAATGAGCGTTTTGGCAAGACCTGAGGGGGCTGCTGTCCACCCACAAGATGGCACGGAGTAGCATGGAGAGCATCGTCCCCAGCCTTTCCCCTAGAGAAAGAGCTGTGGGTTACGGGCTGGACTGGCCTCACAGTAATGGGCCACGAGACCTGGGATCACAGCCTGAACCCTGGAGAAGGCACAGCATACACTCAGCAGCAAGCCCACCCTTAAGCCCATTTCCAACCACGGTCCCTAGGTTTACTTGCAGCTACACCATAGCTGCCCCCCCGGGATGGTGGCATAGGGGCTAAGAGCTTAGTGTTCCAGTCTGTGCTCTGCCACTGACTTCCTACAGGACCTCAGGCAAGTCACATGAGGCCAGACGCCACAAGCTCTTTAGGTTCCTTGGTACCCACCGACTACAATGGCAGCTAAGGTACCAGGGGGTATCTTAGCTGCCACTGGCAACCACTGACACACCTCTTTGGCTCAGCCTCAAGTTCTAGTGTTAGACAACAGCCCCCTCCTTCTTCACAGGGGGGTTGTGAGCACCAACACAGGCTGCACAATGGAGGCCAGTTGGACCCTGGACAGACAGCTATGGCTAGCCCTGGGTACCATTTCCAAGCACAGAGAAGATGAGCTGCTTTGGGTTTGCTATGTGGCTGCCATGCAAAACTCTCCTGCTCAGGAAGAGATATATTCCTCCTTAGGGACTATCAGTCCAGCATGCACCCCCTAGACCCAAAACCCTCTCACTCACTTGCACCCCCCAGAAGCTAAAATGCATACTCTGAAGAGCATAAATAACCTGCAAAGGTCAGAGGGGCAGAAACTGGGAGCTGCTGGGTGACCTGCCCGGGAGTCTCACAATGGACTAGAAATGGAAATGAACTGAGCATGGAGGGAGGAGGGGGGGCATCTCCCAGCTCTCATTCTCGTCCTTATTACTCAGTGCATTCTTGTTGCCGGTCCGGCTCTCCCCCTCCGGCTGGTGCAGAGCTGTGTGAGAAGGCAAGCTTGTCGTGCGGACAATGGAGGAGCCGGGAACAATCGGCTTGTGGCGCGGTGAAAACGTATTGGTTTTAAAGAGCACACAAAAGGAAAGTTCCATTCCTCCGGCAGGTCAGATTTCCATTGTACTTAACCTTTCAATGCCACTAGAAGTTTACTCTTAAAATGGGTTTGTTACTTTAATAGGGGCCTGTTTGAAAAGGCCTTCATTGTACTTTTATTATACAGTTTGCCGAACAAAAATTAAAAAAAAAAAAGAAAGAAAGAAAGAAAGAAAAAGGGGGGAAAAAAAAACTGTTATCTTGTTACGGGGTTGGTTCTGGTAACAGGCCTGTTCTAACAGTCTCAGGTGCTCAGCTCAAGGGACTCCTCTGTTGAGCAGACAATGGGAACGGGAACAATTGGCTTTGGCACATGGAAAATGTCTTCATGTAACAGATCTTCTCCTTTAATGTTCCCTCTTTTGTGGAGGGACGGGCTGGGGGGATGGACTGAATGCAACACAAATGAGCGGGACCAGGCTGACAGGCTTACGTCTTCTCCTCACCCCGCTGGTTCATAACCAATGCTGGATTTGTGGCTGGGCTGGGGAAGGCAGCTTCTCCTGGATGCATGGGCATTCAACCTCCTGGGGCTCCTCCCTGGTCTCTCAGTTGCAAATCTGGGTGGTTTTTGGGGAGATGTGCACCCCTCTGCAAGGAACATCTCGTGCCACAGCCTTTTCCAGTGTTGACAGGCTACAGCAAGAGGAGAGCAGCAGCTAAACCCCTTGTTAGCACAAGGACGATCCTGCTTAAGGCCATGGCATCTCAGACACGTAGTTGGGGATCATGACTCACGGCTGCTCGGCTAAGCTGTGTGTTGCAGGGAACAACTTGTGGCTGACCACTTGCCCTGCAAGGCCAGCGTCTTGCCAAGGAGACCTGAGCCAGCCTGACCAGAAGGGTTATTTCATCCCCTGCAGGCCCCCGGTACTGGCTGCAGCGCTGAAAGGGATCAGATCACTTTGGTGTAACAGTTCCCTAGGGTATCTCCTCCCTCGAGGCTGGATGCTCA